GCAAACTTAAACAGAACTGTTACATTGCAGATCCATTACCGCACTATTTATTTTCACAATGGACGTTCCGCAAAAACTTCAAGAGGCATTTCGAATGCTTCAAGTCTGCTACTTGTTTGACTGTTCGAGGAGACTCTCATATGGTATTCTTAGGCGAGACAGTTCAGGGCGCTTCAAATCCTCTTCGGTCTGACCCGTAACGACATCATGCTCTATCGCCGTGTTGCTCCTGGTTGTGTAGGATCTACTGCAGTTTTTGAGCATGTCTTGGCTGCATTGCGTTGAAACCGTGTAGGGCAAAATGCTCTTCCTATCCTTCTGTTCACTATAGCAACATCATGCTTTTCACGTTGTCCCGCAAATATTTCAAATACTGGTACTCCCTTTATTCTGTAACATAAATTTCAAATAATAGCTTTTTTACGCGAAGAATAAGTAGATTTTTTGAGAGGCGAAGCAGTCAATGTTTCAATGAATAACAAACTGAATTTAGATGGCATGGGCTCCTGGAAAAGGTGTTAAAGAAGATTTCAAAGACATGTGGGATGCGGAAATCGGCGTTACTTACATTCCTTGGGATAAACTGCCTACAGAATTCAGCCCTTTGCTTGATGGAGGAATAATCGATGCTGATTCGCTGCCTCCTCATCTGATGGGTATTCTCTGATCTTGTTTGTTTTCGTTTCATTTATTGCGCTGTTTTAGATAAATACAAAGAAGCGCTCGAGAGGAACATCAAAGACGAAGCGAAAGCTGTTTCAGCACCGCCAGCGCCACCAGCGATGCCTGCCGCCCCGCCATTCGCTCCTTTTCCGCCGATGCCCGGTAAGAGGGGACAACGATCTCTTCTTCTGACTGCATGTTATTAATCAGTGTTAATTTTAAAGGCGTGTTTCCTCCCGTATTGCCGCCTGTTTCGATGTTTGGAGGAATGCCTCCTCCGCCAGGTTTGCTTAGAGTTCCACTGCCAGGCTCTGTACAACCGAGACTACCAATTAGTACGATGGCACCGTCCAGTCCTTCAGTTGCAGGTGCCTGCTGCAAACTTTTAACTACTTTTGTTTGGCAACGATTTTGGTCTTATAGCTTATGTTAGTGAACTAAGCAAACTAGTTCAACCCATCAGCAGTTGTACAACGAGTTCTTTATTACACAGAGTTTAATCGTTAAAAAATTACTGTAAAATTTAATTCCGCTGTTGGACGTTATCTTGCTAATCAGTATGTCTGTTTTGATGATTTTCCTCATATTATTATTGAAGCGGAATCCCAGAAGTGATTTAGGTTAGTTTTCTGTTAAGGCATATGAGATCTCTTTAAGTTTGCCTTAGATTGATGATATGCAACCCCCATCAGCTTATTTGTGATATGACGCATAAAAGACGATAATTTCTAGGAAAGCGAGTATTCGTTTGCCAAATAAATTGTAGATGGTGTGAACACGTGAAGATCATGCTCAGATTTGGCAAAATACGAGATGATATTCACGGACAAATAAGAATGTGTTTAATATATGCACACGTCTAGGCTGGTATCGTTTAACGTAAACGAAGTCAATTCACAAAAGGGTGATCAGCACAGAAGGCTCGACAGTAGCCACTGAAGTAATTCAAGGTAGATTTTTTTGAGGTAGAGATGTCATATCCTACAATATGGAAACCATTTGATAGGTTTCGTGTTAATTTTAGTAACCGGTGAAGTTAAATAAGTATCGTGAATTAGTTGAAACATTAAAAACTGTCGATAATAACTATCATAATGCAGATATGCAACGTGCTTCCTTGGTT